ATGCCTCCACTACTGTTCCTGTGAACATTCGTCGTCAGAGCATCGAGAGTATCAAGAACATCGAAGAAATCGATAAGAATGAACTCCCCAAAGAGTCTCGTCCTTTCGATATCATCGATATCTCTTCAGTTACTAATTCTGGTCATGTTTATGAAAAAACATCAATTTCAACAGTTGATTGGGTTGCTTACAACTTCTGCCAACAAGTTGATGCTCTTTCTGCTGATGAGAAGATTGTTGTCAAATGGCTTGATCCAAGTCATCTCAGAGCTTCCATCGATGTTAGCCGTAAGCTGAGGGATAACTGTGAAGTACCAGAGATGTTCATCATTTTGGATCGTTGTTCAAGAGGATCGATTGGGTAAGTGCGAACATATTCATTTGTAACTAACTGTGCTGATTCAGTGTTCTTCTCAACACAACTATTACTGCTATTGGCTCCCCCATGAACGAGAGCATTTTGAAGAACATTTTGACCCATCAGAAATCAGGAAGTGTAGACGATGTTGTGAGAATCCTCATCAACCTTGTGCTCGAGTGGAAGATCAGGTTAGATCCATCCAATGTAGAAATATCTTATCTTTTTTTTTCAGATCAAACAACTGTTCAGCTACCGAAGAAGATTCAGCTTTGTCTGAGTTCATATTCAAGTCTATGCATACACCATGCTTGACTAAGCCTGCTGTGGTCGTATCACAATTGGATATGGCTGAGATTCTTCGTAGTGAAGCTGATAACTCAGAGGACGAACCTTTTGAGAGAATTTCTGATGATGAATTCTCGTCGGAGGAAGATTCACAAGGATTCGAAACCACCATGGTCGGCACAATAAAGATCAAATGTGCTATCTGCGAACATCCAAACACTGAAGATCTGTTTGAGATGGACGATTGCTGGCAATGCATTGAATGTGCTCGTCAGACCATTTTGATTCAGATCAAAAGAAAATACCTTCCCATCGATGCACCTGTAAGTTTTACAAGCAATTTTATTCAGCTAGCCATGTCATTCAACATGTATAGCATGGTCGTTTCCATTTTCACAGTGTTGTGATTTGGGAACGGTTGTCCACTTGCTAAAAGATCAATTTTTTCATTACTAATTTTCAGTTTGTGACTGACGCCGATACCACACCTTATGATGTATTACCAGCTATCCTTCCTCTTCCAATTTTCAACTTCTACACCAAAGTTGCAGCTTTGGAGATTCTTGAAAACTCTCAAGATGAGATCAATGACTTATTCGAATGTCCAAAATGCTGCAATGTTGTCAAAGTTGAAAGACCTCATGGTTAGCTCGTTTCAACGTTGAGTTTATAAACCAATGCCTGTTTGTAGAGTATTCGTCTTGCTGTTGCTCGGGATGTTCCACCACCTGGTGCACTGAATGCAAAAATGAGCCTCATTGGCCATTAACCTGTTCTGAGTTCGCAGACTGGTCTGATAAATGGTTCAAGCAATGTAAGAATATATGCATATTGAAAATCATCAATTCATTCTTCAGATCCAAATGGTGTACCTCGTATCCAACCCACTCGCTTCCCAAAGAAATTCACTTGTGATTGCAAAGTTATTTTCACAGTTGAAGATACTTCAGTTGAGACTCTATCCTGCACCAGATGTTTCAAAATTAACGATCCATCCATGATTGTTATGCCTTTGGTGAAATACTGTCCCAAGAAGAAGCGCATGCGCGGAGAAAACGAGCTTCCAAGAATTCATCGTCCAGTTCAGCTTATCAGAAAAGATATTGCTGACATCTGTGCAGATGCACGTCTTCAACGCTTCACAAAGCCAAAGGCAAAGACAATGAAAGCTATACGCTCCTATAAAAACATTCCAACGGGTCAAATCTACGATCTTCGCAGAACTGTAAGTTAACAGAAAAAAAAAGTTATAATGACTTTCATATTCAGATCTTACTTCTCGTTGAATACGGATTGGCCAAACTGTATTTGACCAAAAAAGGACCTCAGGGATTAAAGGCATCTGTACTTCAATTGCTCAGAATGCTCGAGGAACTGATTGCTGATGTTGAAGGGCTCAAGTAAGATCTCATAAGATATATCATCTCCTACATCTATGCTTTTCAGAACCTCAGTTAACGAAAGTGTTAAGCAACTTGACATCGCCGTTAACAAAGTTGTTGAGCAATTCAAGATCATCGATCTTGTATAAATTTGTATATAATATGTATATACAAGCCGCATTTACTCACATCTAGATCGTAATCAATTTGCTTTTTTTT